CACTGTGTCTGTGTAAGATCCAGAGGGATCACAGCTTGATCCAAACTCACAATCCTCTCTCCCAGTAAGAAAAGCACTCTAAAGAAGAGTAACAGATAAAAACACTGTAGAGCAGAAAAACTCAAAATACAATTTAAGAAGTTAGCTTCCTACCTGGCTTTTTCCGATTTTCTCTTTTCTCCCCCCATTAGCACTCCAGGCACAATCCAGGTAAATGGCTACAGAAAGGAAAACCAAGACGAATACATATTCTTTTTACTAAAAAGACAGAGCCTAATCCAAAAATGGTGTTTCTTGGCAAAAAGAGAAAGGACTGTGGCTGACAGCAGTGTGCATCTGATTTGATCTAACAGATACAGTCTACATGCACTCTCTCCCCCACAGCTATGTATCAATGGCACCTTTAGTTCTAGCCATGTAACTTGCTTCCCACATCATCTAGGAAGATAGAAACGCAGTAATTTTTGCACCACTTCCCATCACATAATAATATTTCTTTTCCTTCTCCCCATGTAGCCTAAATGTTCAAAGACAAGCTACAATGCTGTTTCTTCATCTTGCCTTTAAGCAGTATCTTCCTGTGGCTGAGGAAAATTTAAGAAAAACACAGGATCTATAAAGTTTATATATACGTACACAGACCTACATGCACGCAGTCACTATGTCTGCGAACATTAAACATCAGTCTCATTGATACTGGCAGGAGTTTTTGCCACTTACTTTCATGAGGTCCAATCCTTCATTGAATCCAATACTGCCCAATATTTACAGCAGAGATAATCAAAGCATGGTACTGCCATTGCCTCATTCGAGAGGAAACGCAGGACAGAAGCAGCGCGCAGTTTGTAAGGATCACACAAACACGTGACTGGTAAATAGGCTTAAGTTTGCATGGGTCACTGCTTGCCAGAAATGCTCCAACAAAATAGTTTCTACAAAGAGAGTTTCTTTTTAAGGTTTAAAATAAGGAAGATGTCTAAGCAAGATCAAGGCAATATAATCTTAGTAGCTGGCATTAGAGTAATTGCATCAGGAGCAGCTCAACTAGCCTTTTTCTCTCTCAGTAATTACATAAATATATTACTCCCTCCGGTCATCCAGCCCTTCCAGGGTCCAGTCAGACCACAATCTAAATCTTCTGCTTTGGGTCACTACGACAGTTTACACTGGACTTCATGGTTACTACATATTATATGTAACAAATTAAAATTAAAGGGGGTCAGTCCAGACTTCATCCTTTGAAGGACATCAAAAGTCCACTCATAATAACTTCTAATTACTACGGAAGAAGACTGAAGTACTTTAAACCTCAGCATGACACACCAAAATCTAACTTGGCAATTCTGGCAGTAGAAGAGACTTGGAAAGTGCCTTACTATTTCAAGGAAAAAAAAACAGAAGATGGAGTGGGAATAAAGATCAGATAAATGATTTCGATACCTTCCAGCCCCATGGTAAGATACTCTACCCCAACTGAAAGGAAAGCACTATCAGTTAATGATTTTAAAAGCCTTCTAATTTATCCAGCCATTCAATTGGCAAAGCAGTTCACCAAGTTCTACTCCCCATCTGAAACCCATCTGTCTAGTATTAGTTTTGGTAAAACATCACTTGTCATTCTGAGAGTTTCCATTCATAACTCGGACTGATACAATGGTAGGTACTTCTTAAAACAAAACGTTGTGAAAATCAACTGCACTTGTTTATGAAAACATGTACAACTAAGGTGCCATAATTAATCACTTAATTTTCATGTAATAGTTCAGAACATGCTACAGGGAAATCACTCAAACACATTTATCTTTAAGGACCATATATCTGGCCAGATGCCGGATTTCCTTAAACATCCAGTTGAATTCACAGGAACTGAAGTTGCTTAGCATCTTACAGCAAGAGGCTCAAGCAATGAGAACACAAAGCATTAAATTCTTACCTTAAGTAGTTTCTGCATTGTATCAAAACTTTGGAGTGCAAGCTATGGAAATCAACAAAAGAAAGTGAGCTCTGAAAAAGTCCCTGGACTACAAAGATGGACTACAAGCCCCTTTGGCTCAAAAATCTGTAAGCTAGTTATGTACATAATCAGAATTCTAAGTATGTCCTTTATTGTTCTTTTAGAACCTGCTTACTATTTTATTCTCTTGCGTAATCCTTCTTTTATTACATTCAGACCTGTTCAAAAACCTCTCTATGCGTTCAGCTCTACAAGCCAGTTCTCAGGACAATAGAGACTTCTGCTGGCTTCTGTGAATGCCCCAGGGAGAAAACAAGCTGAAGTCACAGAAGATTTTGCTCCACTGGAAGAATAAAAAGAAAAACAGCACAATTTCTGGAAGAAGCCCATCATGAAAAGGAAATGCAGCCCAGAGGTTAGTTATCTCCTGGCAGTCAGGGCAGATCATGTTATTCCCTCACCTGATTCACAGGTCTTTCTACCTCTCCGTTTCCCAGTCAGCAGAACAGAGATAGTATTCACAAAGCTTGCAAACCTAAATGTCTGGTCAGTGGGAAGCATTTAGCTGTTGGGTTTTATGTGCTGTCTGACGGCCAATTCTGCTGTGGCAACGAAGACCAAGAAAGGCAATGGTGCCATTCTGATGCATTCATGGAATGAGTACGTGAGCAGAGCTTAGTTATGGGACTAAAACTATTTTAAATGCTCTGACTACACTGCTACATACTGTTATTTGCCAAGCTCTGAAGAAAGGCCATCACTTTCAATACAAAGTAAAAGTAATATCAACTGTAATTACTAATTATTTCTGTAAGTACTCTCAACGGCAGCCCTTTAAAAAGGCTTACAAATAATTTCCTACACGCTTAGTATTCATACAGCATCCTAGAGAGGCACTAAGTTTGCTGCTGTAAAAATTTAAATAGCTTCAGCTTTCTCCGTTCACAGAACCAAGCTGAGATATTGTACTGCAGGCTGCATAAAATATTGTGCCCCAAACTAGATACCTGCACTCAATTCTCCACATGGAAGTTATTATCATTTGACATACAAAAAAACCCTAAAAATACTCTCCTCTGAAATTGCCTTTGCAATTGAAAATAACGTAAATCAAACAGAAGAGGGTTCAGTGGAGAAACCAACTCTTGGAAGCCTCATCTTCAGCATTCACTTGTGGATTTGGAAAAAAGGGCTTTAAAAATTAAAACATTTGTATAAACCTACACATTTGCAAAGCTGATTTCATTGGTTTTACTTACTCCCCCCTGTGTGAGCTAGGCACGCTTCTCCCTCCCATGCATTGAGCTAGATCTCCAGTCTCCATAATTATTTCCAACTGCATGAGGAAAACTTAAAGAGATTCCTTCTTTCTTACTTTAGTATGGCACTGAACAAAAAGGACAACACGCCTCCAGAGAGCAAACACTTTTTCTGCGAGGGCAAGATCTGAGCAAAAGGACAGGCAACATTTCCTAAGACAGTCCCTGGTGGCCCCCCATCAACACACTAAAAATCTGTGTTCAAACACTCAGCTTCAGACAGAATCAGAAAAAAAAAAAAAGCAGCCCACCTACCTCTCTTGTTGGGACTAATATGAGTGCATAAGGCCCATCACTGCGCTGCAAACAGAGAAGACAAGGTCCACTAAGAGGAACGTAGCACTGATAAACAGAGTACTTCCATGTCTAACTGCTATTAGCCAACAAAGTGAATTCTGAAGGGTTTTAATTTGTACACAACAGTTTGAGGTATTCCCCCTTTCCAGCTTTTAAAAAAATCAACAGTCTTTCAAGTATCAATACTGCATTGCCTTCTCTTTCCTCCTTGGAAACCTGCTCATAGTCATACCCAACAACTTATTCCATACACATATTGTTTCACTCTCGTATTTCTGACTTGCAGAAATACTCTCGTGTTTGACACACAGCAACAATCTGTAGGTAGCAGCTGCAGAAAGTAACAATCCAGAATGGGTTGGAAACATTTCAGCCCATAAGGAAAGTCAGGATGATCTCTTTATATTAAATGTACAAGAGATGGCAGACCTGCCGCAGCATTTTCTGGTCAACCAGATGATGCAAATTGCAAGCAATTATCAAATCTTACTCCACGTCAAACATCAGAAACTTATTACTCCTAAAGACATGGCAGTAACCTTTGTTTTCAGTTCTCCCAGCTTCCAGACCATTGCCTCTTCTGCACTCTAACTTCTCCAAACTTGACAATTTAGCCTATTTATAATTTAGCTTACTGCATGAAGTAAGGAGGAACGTGTAACACTGTTCCTGTATTATCTGTATCTTGGCAGTACAGGAGGATCACATAAGCCACATTCACAAACAAAGGGGAAGAGAGATTGCTTGACCTTTGCATCAAGAAGAGACAGTGATGACTACAAGAGCTGGATTTTATTTTTATTAATCTTGATATCAAAAGCAAATATATTTAATTCTGTTGCACCTACCTGTATTTTGCATTCCATCCCTTGCAAAGACTGTACGAGTGGAATCCCATAGGCAAGAGTTTTACCTTTTTAAAAGGGAGAAAATTGGAAGACTTTCCATCAAAAAAACCTGTGGCAATTACAGCACTCCAGCAAATTAAAGTACAATTCATCCTATCATTCTTAAACTGAGGTCAGAGTCTGGAAAACTTTTAATCAAGTAGAAAGTTTCCAGGATGGAAGATTGACAGGCAATCCACCAAAGGGTTAAATTAAAAAAAGGGAGGTGGTGGTATCCCACTAAAATCTATCTAAATAAATATCCCCACCCACCCAAGGAAATGAGATATCCAGACACAGTTTGCTGTAGAGCAAGCACATGAGTTTGCATGGTAAAAGTGTGTGCTGCTTAGCTCTGCTGGCCTCCTGGATTTGTGTCTCCAGCATAAGCCTTGGAATAGGCCCACGTGCAATGGCTGGCAGCAGGACATCAACATTCAGTCTCATCATTACACTGTTACAGAAGTTTGCACAGCATCTGTCTGTGTCACAGCAGTCCCACGCCAGGCTTTCCTGCCTGTCACCTTTATGAGCTGTACTGCGAACATAAGGTTTTGGTTCTGTATCAGTTTAATATGTCCTAGGGAAGGACACTGACAACTAAATACTGACCTGAACCAGTCTGAGACCTCACTAGAGCATCTTTGCCTTGCAGGAGCACAGGAATTGTTTGCTTCTGAACACTAGGTAACAAATGAAACAGGTTAGGAAATACAAATGCAACACAGGATAGAATCCTAAGGTTTTAACAGACAGTGACCGTTTCAAAAACGTTTACCCCAAATTCCAAACATTCATCTCTGCTGTAATAGAGGTGATTTCTCAGGAAAGACACTAGATAGGCACCAGGTGTGATAAATTGAAAAAAGATGGTTTTATGATTCAAGTACCAAGTTAGAAGGCAGGACTTCAAGGTTCCATCTTCAGCTGTGATAACTGACTTGCTGTGGAACTTACAAGTTATTTCTCATCCCAAATTTTGGAAGCAACAAACCCCATGCAAATGGGACAGCTTAACAGGTGCTGTGGTCTTCACAAGCTGATTACGTATAATGAAACAATCACAGACGATTGGCTTTAAGGAGTAGTGAAAGGCAACATTTTTATATGAATTTGCTTACCTGGTCATGCTACTTATCTTTAGGACGGTGTTTATTGTGGATATCTAGAGAGATAACAAAGAGCAGTAAAGAGGTTTCCTTGTCAAATTGTTCCTTTTGTGACTTTTTGTAGTATAAGATAGAGCAAAAACGAGAAGGCTGATGCTTATTCTCTATATTACTGGTCCAGGGCAACTGGATGTAAAAGTTCCCATAGTCTCAAAATACTTCCTAGTTAATCAGAATTACACCAGTGCTGATACATCACGAAATATTGTTAAAATACTGCACTCCCAAATATTTTTCTGTTCTTTTTTGGTATTAGAACTGCAAACAGTGAAGAGTGCTGGGACGGTGTGTTTGGGGATGGATCAGGACACTGGTCAGCACACTGAGCTAAGAGACTGCAACAAAATCAGGCCAAGTACTGGCAAGCCTGTCCAAGTCACCACAAATAAAGATGCACCTCTCAGCTCCCTAACCTGCTCCCCACCCCAAAAAACATGTTTGAAGGCGCACAGCCTTCCTGCCACTCACCAGATGTGGATGGAGGTCCAACTGGCTAAAAGAATCTGTAGTGAAAACGTTTTCTTGCACTTGCTGCACTGCTTTTCTGAGTTTGGGGAAACAAACCAAACCAAAACAAAGCAAAGCACATGGTGTGGTTAAAAATGATACAATAGTATTCTACCAAAACAGCAACGAAACTACATGTACCAAGCACCTGATTTGCCTAAGCAAAACCAAGAATTCAAGATAATGAATTTCAAGGTATTGAAAGGGGATTTTTTCCTATCATTTGTCTAAAATACCTGTGGATTTCTGGGATATCAGGGTTGTTTCTAAACAGGCTGGATGTCTTAATGAAAGGTTTGCTTTTCTGGCTTTCATTTCCATTGACAGTCAACTGCTTCTTAGGAAGAGATTTTCGTGATGAACTTCCCTTCTCCCTGATGTCAGCTTCCGTAGCACATTTCTTGAAGGTGTTTATTGATGGCTTACATTTACGTTTCAAAGGTGGGTTTCCATGTGGTGACTGGAGCTTTCTTTTCGGAGCGCTAGACTGCTTTAATGTTAACAAACCAACCAGATAGCAAGAATTCATTAATGACCGAGAATTAACAACATGATACCATGTTGAACACAAACATCGGCCCACAGACAGATCCCTTATTTTTGGAATCCTCTACCTCATGACTAAAGAAACTAAGTTTGATTTTTGCAGCTAGACAGTTCCTACTCTAACAGATTCACCACCATGCCTCAGACCTCTGAACACTACTGAAATGCAAAGAGAAATCTAAAGTCATATATAGTGTTCATCTCTAAAGGATTTCATCTAGCTTCTCCAGTAACTGAGTAGAACATGCTTTAAAAATCTCTCTCAAAAGCTCTGCAAATCTCCTGATTACATTAAAGCCATCCCTGAGGGCTTCCTTCTTTCTGTGGGCAGGAGGGATGGCCTGTACTTCACTCCAACTTATGCTTCTGCCAACTTTCAGCATTTCTGAGCTCTTTATTTCTTACTCTGCAGCAATCAGTTTATTTTGCTCACCCTCCAATCACCTTAAGAAAAAGTTTTGCTCTCCCAATACCCCTCCAGGAACAGTTAAGAAGAAAATTAAATTTAACTTCCTTTGGTCCCCAAAGCTCTTCAATGTTTCCCAGCCCGTTTTCAATGAACTTGTTTTTCCTGAAATGCTTGCAAAACTCCTGAAATGTGTGAAATGCCAATACAATGTTGCCCCCTTTTTTCTCTCTTCCCCACTCTTAGTTGCACAATGATTTTCTTTCTCCTCCTGTGAACTATATTGTTTTCACGTTCTATTAATTTTTTTACTTGTTTCTTCATATTTTTGGCAACCAACCAAAAACCAACCTCCTTTCACCAACATTCACTATCAAAAAAAATTATTGTGGTGGTGCCCTACCTCCAAGTACCTAATATAATCAGGGTAAATCCTAGTAAACGCTTAACTCTCACATACTTTTCCACATTATTTTACGAATGATTTAAAAATTAAGAATAATTAACACAACCCAGAATCACTGTAACAGTAACTTTGAAATGGAAAATGTGTATTTAACCTATTCTTGTTCTCGTTTCCTCAAATTTATGAGAGTAAAGCACCTATTCCTGCAGCTCACAGCATTCCCACAATCGGTTTACACTAAAATATAAGAAGACTTAAAAAAAAATCCCCCCCAGAAGCATTTCACAGCATCTCTAAATGAGGCAGAGGCCCGTAAGAGCGTTACCCACACCTTCAGCAGTCAGCTCCCAACAAGTCAGAAGCTGCTAACAACGAACGGAAAGGGCAGAGCAATCCCACAGCAGCCCATTTAAAGGGATTAGAAAAGCTCGT